CAGCAGCAAGTCGTATTTTTCATGAAATGATCACTACGCGATGGCGTGCCCTGGCTGAGAGTGAGTCGCCCTTGTTGAGGGTGACTGTAATGTCATAGACGAAAGCACCCACCCAGGGCACATCATTGGTTGGGGATTTTAGTCGAGTCTGTACGACCCCCCCTTTTTTTGGGGTTGGTACGACCCCCCCCCTCCGGCCCTCTGTTCCTCCTCATCGAATCGACCCGTCGAGGTCGAGCAGGGGGGAGGGGGGAGGGTTGAATAGCACATGTGAAACAGGAAAATAGGAAAATCGCCGAAAGTCAACCACTCTTACAAAACGTAAATACGACCCCTCCCCCTCCCAACAAGTGAGCAAGTACGACCCCTCGACCTTTACAACGTCCGTGAAGCGAGAAAAATCAACTATCAAAAAAATTCTTCCCAGCCCAAATGCAAGCATCCCCCTATTGGGGATTCCCCAACAACTGTGTGCCCTGCGCCCATCCCAAGTGAGTGAGCCAGTGCGGTGAAAGCTATATAACGCGGGAAGTGCCCGAGGCGGTATAACATGGTAATGAAACGCACCTCAAACGTGGAAAACTAGACAAATGCGCGGAATACGATAACAGCGATTCACGGCTTCCCAAATCCTTCTTGTGACTTCACTTGACCTTGCTTTCTTGACCGACGCATGACCCAGCCTCTGTCCTACTTGTCAGTGTCGCTGTTTTTCAGATCAGGAGACGAATTCATGTGAGCCTGATTGCTCAGAGGAGTTTGCACGGTATTACATATTGTCTCATCACCTCCGTTCTTCTGTGAAGGTAATTGAAGGACAAAATTTCTTATAGCAGTCTATTCCACTTTCTTTCCCGCACTTGGAAAAAATTCCAGAGGTCAAACATACTACAGCTAGCAAAAGAACTACATTTGTCCGGATTTTCTTCACCCGGAAAGCCCGCTGTTATCATAGTCGAAGGGAAAACATCATCATGTGAAGAGTTTTGGAGAGAAGTGAAATCGTGGTCATGGCAGCGAATTTCATTACGACATTCAGGTAGCATTTGATTGTTGTACAATTTTATGAACAATGAGAGGGTTCTGAGCTTCATTGTATTGTCTTCTTTGTGGTTTGCGGGGGGGGGGGCCTGCACGTCGTCTATGAAATTAACGACCTGGAAGAGGTTTCATTCTATCAGTAACAAAAAATACAAGTTTTTTGTTGAATAGCTTAACAAAAGATCTGTTTTCCTGAATAACTGATGAGTAGGGGCAAGTGGTCTCGAGGAACTAGAAGAGGTATTTTGAGCGTGATTAGCAGCGCCGCGACCACTACGCTACCTGCGACAGATCTATTGCTTCTGTGTGTAATGTAATAGCATTTCAATAAACGGGCTTTCCGCTGACACTAGTATTTATAATTTAGGGAAGTGAGGGGAGGGGAGGGGGAAGGGCGGGTTTGATCGCGTGATGTAGCTTGAGTGTGGTGAGCTGATTGATTCTCATTGCCTCTGGCGCGCGTTCTCCCATATTTCAGTGCGCAAAAAATAAGGCCACACCATGTCGCTTCATTCTTCAAGTTATCATTGAAGCAGAGCTTTGTTATTCTGCTATTTGTTATGTACTTCCTGATAGTTGTCCAATACGATTTCCTTTTTTATTGTGCACTCCCTACGCGCGATCATGCTGCAACTTACAAATATTTGTTTTATCCTGCATTGCTCTCTCGGCCACCATAGAGTAGGAGAGGTTGTAGCGGCATACGTCTCTATTTTAAAGACAGCCCCCCGCGCTCGAGTAGTACATGGTCGTCCTTCCTTGTGCAGGTAGTTCAGCCCCCAAGCTAGAGACTCCCACTCTCGCGACTCCACAGTGAGCGAGGAGCGAGCTACAGCCGCTGAAAGTTCTAGTTCTAACGCCCGCCCAGTTGGACCGCCCACTTGCTAGATGCCCTCTGACGGAGAGCCGCTCAGTTGTTCTTTGTTGGGACGGCGGGCATTAATCGGAACTGCATGTACTTTTTGCTGACCGCGCTCGTGCCCATAAATAATTCTGCTCTCCTTCATCACATTTTATTCATTGGGAGCACATACAGTCAACTGCAACCCATCTCGTAAGGTAAAACGCGTAAAAATCACGAGTGATGCAATTTCGTGGTGCAAAAGCTCGACATGCACTAAAAGCTGCACACTGCACGTAACCCCAAATTCGGACGCCAGTTTTTGAATTTTTCTTTTTTTAAGTGTTTTTCGTTCGTGTCTTTGTTGTTTTCGTTTTCGTTTTCTTTTCTTTGCAATGGATGCTGTCCACTACTAGGAAGTGCTATAAAGCGATTTGTGAGCAAGGGGTTGCCCGGGGTGTATGTTGTTAGGCGCGATTCTTTTGTCGCCTACGCGTCAGAACATGTCAGGCAAACCGACTTCTAGGGGAAACAACTCGCCATAACCTCCAAACTAGTGTATATCCCCAAGTGATCATTAGAAGAAAACTTACTGTTTGAATAATGAGCACTATAACCAAAAACAGGAGGGTTTTGATAGGCTACAAATTACGAAAACCTTATAGTTCAGTGATTCGAACAAGTTATCCGGTAGGCATCTACCTGTCAGAACGTGTAAACGGCAATGAAATCGCGCCAAACGGCCGCCTCCCGGTTGCCCGCGGACCGCAGGGTGGTGTAACTGTAGGGAAGCAATTTTGTTTGTGGTGTTCTTGAGGGCTCTTGTTGCTTTTTTCCTTCATTGAGGAATTACTTATCAGCTACTGTTTCATAATTGATTCATAAATTGATCAGCAACTATCCTTGGGCACTTCTATCGCGGGAGCTGTCTTTAAAAAAAGTGTTTCGAAACCTAACGTATTCTACCGGTACACTAGGCCGACGTGTGGTATATTTTAAAGTAAAATGTTTTTGCAGAGGTGCTGAATTCACCAGAGGATCGGAGGTTTACCGAGTTTTCTGAAATTCCTCCCAATCCTTCAGGCACTCCAATGGGTATGTTAAACGGTTATTAGTCGATGCAAAACTTGACGATAAATTTTCATTGCTGTACAGTTTATAGGCCTCGTGGGTTGATTTTTTCGTTAAAGCAGTTGTGCCTTTGCGTTAGTTGTTGTTTTATCTTATGTTGTTGAATAAATATTTTACAAGTTGGGGAAATATTATCATTCTCATTGGTTCAGCCTCAATATTATCTGATTCAGTGCTTTTTGTATTGTCTTACACGCAATTTGAAGGTATTTTCATAATATAGAC